TGGGGAAAAAAATCATACTCAGTGATCTATCACAGAAACAAAGAACTGAGTACCACATGATATGTCCTCATTAATAAGTGGAACTGTGCAACTCGGCAAGACCTCGTCTCTACAATAAATAAAAAAAAAATTAGCCGGGCATGGTAGCGTGCGCCTGTAGTTCCAGCTACTGGAAGGCTGAGGCAGAAGGATGGCCAGAGCCCAGCAGGTCGAGGCTGCGGTGGCCGGGAGCGGCCACGGCACTCCAGTCTGGGCGACTGAGTGAGACTCCAACTCAAAACAAAAACAAAAAAACAAAAAAAACAAGTAGACCCTAAACATCTATCATAATACTTCAGTAAAGGGGTTGGCAATAGCAGGACACTGCCAGGGCGGGGGCGGGGAGCAGAACACCATTGTCAGTGGCTGTTCCTAATCCAGGCAAAGTGAGGTCCCGTGGGAGGCCCAAAACTTCACCTGTACCTAAGTGACTCGGTGGCTCATGTGACCCACCCTGACTTGTACCCCACAACTTAAAAAATTTTTTTTAAAGAATACATGTAAAGGACACAACCCAATTTCAAAACTTGCTACAAATCTGCAACAATCAAGACAGTGTGACACAGGTATGAGGATAGACGTATAGATCAAAGGAAGAGAACTGAAATCCAGAAATAAACCCTTATATACAGTCAACTGATACTCAATAAAGGGGCCAAGATAATTCCGTAGGAAGTTTCTTTTTTTTAACAGATGGTCCTGAAACAACTAAATAACACATCAAAAAAAACGAAGTCGGAACCACATCTCAAACTACATTCAAAAGTTAACTCAAAATTGATCAAAGAATTAAATGTAAGAAAAAAACTACAAAACTCCTAGAAAAAATATGGGTGTCAAGTTTCACAACCTTGGATTAGACAATGGTTTCTTAGATATGACACCAAATGTACAAGCCACACACAAAAGAGATTTTTAAAAAATCATCCAAATAAAAACTTTTGTGTTTTAAGAACATCATCAAGAAAGTAAAAAACAACACAAAGAATTATAGAGAATAGTTTCAATTTATATATCTGATAAAGAACTTGTATCCAGTATATATACAAAAGATTTGAACAGACACTTCTCCAAAGATATACAAATGGCCAATAATACATAAAAAGATGGCCAACATCACTAGCCATCAGGGAAATGCAATTCAAATTCACAATGAGAGACAACTTCACATTTATGAGGATGGCTATAATAAAAAATCAGGCAATAACAAGCATTGATGAGGATGTGGAGAAATCAAAATTCTTGTACATGGTGACCAAATACAAAATGGTGCAGAGTCTTTGGAAAACATTTGGGCTATTCCTCAAATGCTTAAAAACAGAGTTACTATATTACCTGGGAGAGAGTAATTTCACTCCCACGTATATACTGAAGAGAAATAAATAATGCATGTACATGTAGGGGAGAAAAAGTACAATATTTTCCTTAATCATGGCAAGGTTCAAGGCTGACACTGCTGTAATAAAAGGCATTATTAACAAGAGAAAAGTACAAAAAATGTATTTAACCAAAGTTTTACATGACACAGGAGACTTCAGAAATGAAGACCCAAAGACCTAGGGAAAATTGTGTATTTTTATGGACAGTTGTGCATAAGTGTCACTGGAGGACAAAGGCATATGATCTCATGGTAATAAACTGGAAGGAACTTATTAGTAAGTCTTGTTTCTTCAGATTCTTCTTGGTTTCCAGGAATAAGACAGGATTTCTCTGGAATAAGGATCTTAAGATCTACTTTCAAGGAACTCTTTTATGACTATGACCGTGCTTTAGGAGAGAGGCAGAAGAGAAACACTACTTCTGTGGGTTTCTCAATGTCCTTCACCTTAAAATACTCAGTAGGTCAGGGTGCCACATTTTCAGGTATTGTCTTCTGAGCCCCTATATATATAATACAAGGAAAAATTATTGCACACGAATGTTCATAGTGGTGTTATTCATAATAGCCAAAAGGGGGAAACAACACAAATGTCCATCTACTTGTGATAAAAAATGAATAAACAAACTGTAGAACACATGTTTATAATAAAATGTTCAACAACAGAAATAAATGAAGTGCTGATACCCACTATAACATGGATAAATCTTAAAAACAGTATTCAACATGGATGAGGTCAGTCACAAAAGGCCACATACCATATCCATTTACATAAAATGTTTATAGAATAGATAAATCTATAAAGATAGAAAGTAGATTAATGGTAATCTGGGGCTGGGGACTTAGGGGGAAAATGGAGTGACTACTCAATGGTAAGAGTTTCTTTTAGAGGTGATTAAAATGTTCTAAACTTGATTGTGGTGATTTTACAACTTTGTGCAAAAACTAAAAACCACTGACTTCTACAGTGTAAATTAATGTATGGCATATAAGTTATATTACAAAAGAATTTTTTTTAAAAAAGAAAAAAGGTGGTAAAGTTTTCTTACTGACAGTGTAACTTGGAAAAATCCAAAGAAATATATGTATAATATTAGAATAGGCCGGGCATGGTAGCTCAAGCCTGTAATCCCAGCAGTTTGGGAGGCTGAGGCAAGAGGATTGCCTGAGGATTGTTTGAGATCAGCCTGGGCAACACGGTGGGACCTCGTCTCTACAATAAATGTTTTTTAAAAAATTAGCTGGGCATGGTGGCGCACACCTGTATTTCTGGCTACTTGGAAGGCTGGGACAGAAGGATTGCCTGAGGCCAGCAGCTCAACACTGGGATGGCCGTGAACATAGCCCTGCACCACTCCACCCTGGTCAATGGAGTGAGACTCCAACTCAAAAAAACAAAACAAATTAGAATAAATAAGACACCTGAGGAAAACTGTTAAATAGAAACTCAAAATAAATTAGTAAAATTCCTGTATTCCAGAAATAATCCATTTAAAAATGTAACAGAAAATATATTATGTACTATAGTACAATGTTATTTATAATAGCACTAATAGCAAGGGCTAAATCTAACAAAAGTGAACAATGCCGTTTTGGAGGAAGTTACACCTTATTATACATTCATGGATAGTAGGATCTCAATTCTCTCAAAAATAATTCATGAATTAACAATTTTTCAGTAAAACTAACAAGATGATTATTAGTATTATAATCTAGTGACGAGACATTATATAGGGCTCATGACTCACAAAGAAAAGAATAAAAAAGCATTCTTCCCTTCTACCCTAAGTATGCAACTATAATGTCTAAAACCATGAAAATAATAGGGAGTCCATAAACAAACTCATACACACATGGAAAATTGAAGATGTGAGAAAGATTATATCACAAATCGATAAACTAGCAAATAAATGATGTGGAACATCAAATCCAAAAATGAATTCTAAATACATTAAAGATTTGGGGTAGGAAACGTTTTATCATATATCTATAGTAAAAACATTAGAGAAGAAAATAATAAAATTGACTATCAAAATTCACAAACTTTTGAAAGTCCAATTCACTTTATTCAAGTTTCATAGAACAGAAGGTATTTGTAATATACATAACAGAATATTAGTATCCAAAATAAATAAAGAATGCCTACAAATCAATAAGAAAAGGACAAACAACCCAGCTGAAAAAAAGAACTGCAAGTCACAGCAAATCACAAAACTGATTGTTTGGATGGGCATAAAAAAGGAAATGAAAATTATCACCAAACAATCATGTAGCTGTGAATTAACACATGAAAATATCACTCACCCTTATCACACTACCAAATTGTTTAAAAGTTATGCAGAAGCTGACAAAAAAAATTAAGAAAACAAATGCACCAGCATTCATTTTCACAATGGCTATCATTCCACTACTGTGCACTAATAGACAATATATTTCCTTAAATATCTGCAGTGAACTGATTTATACACGCAGAAAGATATACCCTCCTCCCCTACTTTAAATGTTCATGTACACATGCATACATAAACATACACATGCATACATAAACATACACACCCATACTACTACAGTTGTCCCTCAATATCCACAGGAGATTTGACCTTCTACAGATACTAAGAGCCATGGATGCTCAAGTTCCTCATATAAAATGGGATAGTATTTGCATATAAGCTACACATATCCTCCCATATACTTTAAATTATCTCTAGATTACTTATCATACCTATACAATGAAAGAGTTGTACTGTATTTTTATTTGTATTATTTTTATTATTGTATATTATTTTATATGTTATATATTATATGTTGTATATATTGTTGTATATATTATTTTTACATAGATATATGGAGAGACTACCATGTTTACTAGCACTACAATTTGTTTCTGGCCTTTTCAACATGATCTATAGTGAAAAAGAAATCTAAAATTAGATGTGAGAGGAAATGAGCAAAGACAAAGAGAATGCCACAGAAGAGCATTATTTTGAAAAATATTAATAAAAAAGGATGTAAGACCCCACTGTTTCACTGAACTAGACTTAAACAAATGATTTAGTAATATAAAGATTGATTGTAACATCTCTTATAAAAATAATATTTTACTATGAATAAGGCTCTTTAAAGCCAAAGAAAGCATTGTCTTAGAACCACATGAGTATTATTAACCATTTAGTGCTTATATTTACACTTAATTTTTTAATTTTTTAAAGGATCTAGAGCATGCATTCTTAAAACTATACTGCAATAAATTCTAACTATATTTATAAACTTAAGCCTTAACTGAAAAAAGTCACAACTCATGACTCTAAATATGTTTTTTGCAAAACATATTTTATTTCAAAATGCAATAGCCTTTATTTTTTAATGATTACATTTTAGGATAACTATTTGAAGTCAGTTTCCTGCTTTGCAACATCAATTTTTAAAAAGCTGTGGGTCGTAAGTGAAGGAATATAAATTAATGCTAGTTCCCACTGGTGGATTTGAATATATAACTTGTTATTTAAGGAAAATAACATGTATTAAACTTCCTGTAAGAAGTTAGGCCCAAAACAGGAACACGGATTCCATTTTCATTGTATACCTTTATTTTTGCATCAATGCTATATTTTTCTTTTCTCCAATGTGCTTCCTCCTTCCTCAGTTTCTCCAGGTCATTTAGCAGGTCAGCACAGCGGGTACTTAATTTCTCTTTTTCTTCCTCCAGATTCTTTATAACTAGTCTGTTTTGCTCTTCTTTATTCTGTACACACTCCTTTGTGTCCTGTAGAACAGTACCACAAGGGCCAATAAACAAACAAACAACAACAACAACAAAAAGGTGAGAACTAATCAGCAAATATAAACTGTGCAATTTTACCCTCACAGCAGCTTCTTCTATATTTGATAGCCAAGGTCACCTGTGTACTTTTATTGGCCTCTTTTCATGCAGGTGGATGGGTCATATTTTTTCACTGGATGACAGCTTTGATGAGTACACATTTGCAAAGAGCCCATTAATTGATCAAGCTGCCTTTGATGCTGTCCCCAGCTATTTTTGAGACCCACACAGACATATCCTCCCAGACCTGGGTTTTATCAATTAATAATGCCAGTCCCATCAGAATCTAATTACAAGAAGCCACATATTCACACTCTGACTTTCTGAGCTCCATTTCCATCATTAACTATTTATCTGAAAGTTATAAAGCTTGGAGTTCCAGCTTTAAAGCATCTTTATCAGAGTTTCTGCCTGTGAGAAAACTGTATGGCACAGCAGGGCCTAAGGCAATTTTTCCTCCAAGCCTGTCACTTTCAGTGCCACAAAGGTTGACAAAGCTTAAAGCAGGACTTCAAAGCAATGGCCCTACAAAACTATGTACAAGTCAACACACCTTAATTTCTTGACTTTTATCTTTAAATTTCTTTTCCAAGTCATTGAATTCTTTCCTTAAGAAAGCATTTTCTTCATCTACTGCAATCTTCCTTTTTATGGCATCATTTATTTCCTGTTTTAGTGCTAATTCTCTCTGTGGAAAAAAATTAAATTATTGTTAGTGTATTATTTCTCAGAAAAAAAATTATTTTATTTTAAGGTTTTAAAATTTGATTGCTAATGTTAGGATTACCTACTTTTATAATCATGTCTATCATCACAATTCTCATTTCCTGTGACATGTCCATAGTCCTATTTATGATGAAGAACACATAAAAACTGGGCACCAAACATTAAGTCACACATAGAAAGAAAACTTTCAGAAATTATGTGTGTAACTGGAGAAAACTAAGATTTTATAAAACTAATTAAATAAAATATATTTATAGCTAAACTAAGAATTAGTTACACTTATTTGTCATTTGGAAAAAAAAGTTTTTTTGAAAAACTGTAATTGTGTAAAAGTATACATCATTAAAAAAGTAAAAAATGGCAAGTTTGTTTTGGCACTAAAACATCTGGCTCTGTAGACAGAACACTCAGAATATTAAGACAGCCATACTTTTTAACTAAACATTCTTCTCACCTGTGATACCTAAATGATAACTATGGATCACCTACAGGTATCCACAGTCATGGATGTACCCATGTCTCAATTTCTAGCTTCCCTCTTTCCTCTTTATAGCTTTTCTCTCAGAAACTTTACTGCCTATCTTGGCTATTCATCTCACCTCTGATGAAAGACTATCCAATCCATAATCCAACCCTGACTTTCCCAATCACCAGTCTCATATTTCCAATTTTCCATACAATACCTCTACTTGGATGTCTGCTGCTATCTTAAACTAACTTGCAAGAAATGAAATCCAAATCCTGGATACCACCTCTTTCCTAAACTTCTTCAGTTTTTATCAACCCATCCATTCTTTCAACTATTATTCATTAAGCACATACCATCACCTCCACATCAGTCTCAATAGCACCATCTGTCAGTCACCCAAAAAGCAAACACATCAAGACAGAAACACTTTTGTAAAGTAATATACTCAGGAGACCTTTATTCCATCTCTGATCTATCTTTGATGCTGATACTAAATTCATTTTGTATCCCATATCAAACTCTCTCTGAAGGACTTGAAAATAAAGTAAAAACAAGGGTAAGATTCAGGGATAGGATGAAAAGTGGGTTGAGTTCTGGAAATAAAATGAGAATATCTCCAAGTGAGAATATCTCCATATCATCATTTTTAAAGTTGCAGTGTTAATTGTTGATTTTATTTTACTTTCACTTAAAATATTTTAGACACTGAATACATACAAAATAATATGATATAACTTTGAAGATAATAAAGAACAATAATAAAAAGAGCAGCCCTGTACTTACTAGCATTCAGATAAAAAACACACTGTACCATTATCGTTATCGTTGAAGTTTCCTGTATATCCCCTTATCCTCTAACACCTTCTATTCCTTCATAGGTAATCACTATCCTGAAACTTTGAGTCTTATATTTGCCTTGCTTTTCTTTATACTTTAATTGCAAATAAATCCCTATTTGATATACTATATAGTTTAGCTTATTTTTTACTTAGCATCAATTAAATCATACTACACATATTATACAACTTCCTATTTTTGCTTACCTCCCGTTTCCAATTTCATCCATGATAATAAATTTATCTGGAGCTCTATTACCTTAATGTATAGTAATATTTCATCATATAAATATGCTATAATATACTTATCCATTTCTCATCAGCATATACTTCAGCTGTTTCTCATTTGAGGGAAAGGCATACAAACAATGCTGTTATGAACATTCTTAAGCATGTCTCCAAATATGCATGAGCAAGAATTTCTCCCAAGCAATATTTTTCATACAACAGACTTGCAATCTAGAAATGGGTCATTAAATGAATTTAGTTACCATAATCAACATTTTAAAAAAATGGAATAGAATATACTAGAAAATATCAAAATTTACCTTAATTATACATAGTAAAATTATTATTATATGAAGCTTTCATTTCATGTATGTATATACTGGGTAATGAAGTAAAAGATATTTCTTTCAGCATGGAGGTCATATTTTTTTTTAGTTTATTTTTTAATATTCAGACGATCCTTCCACTGCAGTCTTCCAAGTAGCTGGGAGGTCATATTAATAAAAGTTTGAAGACCATATCTCTAGATTAGATATACTTAAAAGAGGCTACATTGCTAATCATAGGCTTATATGCACTTCAAGAGTTCCCATCACTCTATATCCTCACCACACTTAACTCTCAGGGTTGGGAATTTTTAAAAAACGTAGTAGAAATAAATGGCACCTCAATATAGTTTTAATTTGCATGCACAGTTTTAATTACTAGGCCATATCAAAATGTGCCTAACATCAATCAAACAGTATTAAAATAGAAGCATCAAAATGCCCCCCTCCACTATTCAGAGACAATGCTTCTACTCTCATCTAAGTCTTATCCTCTCTCAAGATTAAACTTCCGCCTCCTCCAGAAAAGCTTCCCTAATCATCCCAGTATTTTGTAATTCCTGCCATTTCTAAATTTTTGTATTGTCTGTATTATTCATTTGGCACATAACACATTACCTAGTCTTGGTAAGTAACTATTTATTCTTACTTTCCCAAAATAGATTACATGCTTACAGATGAGATAGACACTGAATGATAAATTCGATGATATAAGCATTAAGACTATTTCTAAAATATGTACAAGCCTATCCTTTGACAGGAGAAATGACAAAACTTGAGCATCCCTTGTCTATTCTGGAGAGTACTCTGACCCTAAGGAAGAGAGAACACTGACCAACTGACTTAAGTTTTTTAAGGATTTTCCCATTAAAGAGAGAACACTAACCAACTGACTTAAATTTTAAAGATCTTCCCATTAAAGGAAGCTAAATCTAACAGGCACTGACAATAGAGATGACACCAATAGCAAGTCCTTTCCTGAAAATTATTTAATAATTTAAATTTTGGCATGTGAGTGAACTTGGTAATTCACAAAGACAAACACAGACCTAATTTGTAAACTAAAAAATAATAAGATAATAAATTGATTAACCAAAACTATCATATTCTGATTGTTTAATATATTGCACAATATATTTTGCTATATTACATAATCATTAGAGAAATAAGTTAGACAACAATGTACTCCCAATAAAGGAGGACTGATAAATTAAACTCTAAAAAATTTGTGTAAGTTTGTATAAACCAATTTATTTTCCTAATAAGATATAACCTCAGTAATCTACAATAAATAATGGAAGTACAGATATATATAAAGTTCATTCTTAAATTTGGCTTTATGAATCTTTTTCCAACAAAACTTTCTGAATAGAGGAGGGTAAATTCTTAACGGTCTAGTTTGAGTTAATAATAAAATAGCAAACAGAACTCAGAGGAACCATAAAGCATAAGGGGTGACAAGAAAAAGTATGCCTGGAACAAATAATTTATTACAGAAAAGGCATGAAATGAATAATTCAAATCATGGTCAAGAGAAGTCTACAGAGAAAGAAGAGAATAATAGTGAGTATGAAGCAGGGGAAAGAGGGGACAGCAGCATAAGACCCAAACTCTACCAGGAAATACTTGAGCATAATATATTTATTATTTATACTGGCCTATTTTTAAAATAGACAGGAAAGTTTTAACAAAAAACAAAGCAGTAAAGAAAACACAATAATTAAAACATTGGTAAATGGAGAAAAAGGAAGGAATACAAGAAGCAATTGCATTTGAGAATCAAAACTTCCGTGCTTCCTAGAAGGATAAAGGTAAACAAAATTTTAGAAAGCAATCATCAGGCGGGTCTCTGCAATAAAAAATCAAAAAATTAGCCGGGCGTGGTAGCGCATGCCTGTAATTCTGGCTACTCGGAAGGCTGAGGCGGACGGATCATCGGAGCCCAGCAGGTCGAGGCTACAGTGGCCGGGAGCGACCACTGCATTCCAGTCTAGGCAACAGAGTGAGACTCCAACTCAAAAAAACAAAACAAAACAAAACAAAACAAAAAAAAAAGAAAGCAATCATCATCTAATTAAATGTAATATTCTAGGTTATCAGAAGTCATACTAGTAAGTACAGTATTAGAAGAAAAATTTATTACATTATTTTATAATAATGTAACAAATGATATTTTGTTTACAAATAAGAAAATATTTTGTTCACAAATAATGTAAAAAATAATATAAACAGTAACAAAGCTAAAGCAGTCTTACCAAAAAGACTTACATGGCAATTCTTTATACTATTAATTAGATGGCACTTCTATGAAAGTTTTTCTGCAACCAGCTAAAAATAATAGTGTGTATGTGTGTATAATTTCTGGTAAGTTGACTTCATACACAGTTAAGATTTGAATAAAATAAATTGTCATTCTAATTGCTACTCTATTTCAGAGGTATAAATCTTGAAAATTAAGAGCTGTTAATATTACTCTGTGGAACCACAAAAATTCAATGGAAGAGCTTCCAGATCAGCATATAAGGAACTTAGAAGTCTGTCACATTTACATAAGACGAACAAAACTGAAAATCAACAACTCTTCTTAGATCCATCAGAAAATTGAGATCACCAGAAAAACCAATGGCCCTAAAATTGAAGAGGCAGGCAGATGTAGAGAATAGCAACTTAATGGAGCCCATGAGCAGAAAACACTGCAGGAACCAGGGTAGAAAAACCTAGTCTGTAATTAATGAGTTACTAGAGGACCAATATGGACAAGTTTGAGAGTTAAAAATTCAAAAAGGGCCCAATCTTGGGGGTAGGGAGTGAGGCACATTTTCGTGAGTTTTATCTACAGGACCCCAACATACTGTGACAGGGAAGACAGAACATTAATTTCTTCCTCCTTCCAGCAGAGGGAAAGGAAAAGTAACCATTAGACACACTCAGAATATTCTTTTATTCTTAACAAGGTCTGCCATCAAAAAAACTACTTTACCAGAGCCTAGTCTAACGGGGTTTACCAGAGCCGAACCAACCCCAGTACCTTCCAACCCTCCTCTCTCTCCTAGAGAGGGTTGGGGGAGGACAAAACAAGACTGAGAAGCATTTTAAAGGGCCCACTCTGGAAACACAGATCATCCAAGACTGAAACCCAAACATACCACTGCTTCCTCTCCTCCATACCTCACCACACCAGTGGAGCTCCTGTATAATAAAAGGGTAATACTCCTGCTAAAGTGCCTCCATGACTGTAACCTAACAGGCAAACAAACTGTAACCTAACTTGAGAGCCTATTATTTTAACAAGCTTTCAGTCTACACAGGCCGCAAATTGCCAGAACTTGTCCAAGTAGGGCAAACACCAAACTATAAACTTCCATTTCTGGCTATACGTATTCCCTGCCCACCGTAGTGATGTGGAGCTCTCTGAATGGCTTTTTGTCCTGAGTGTACCCAATTCATGAATCTCTTTTTCCCGCTCAATTAAACACTATTATTAATCTAGCTAAGATTTTTCTTTTTAAGACAACTGAGAGAATTATGCATCTCAGGATATTTAAGAAGTCTCTAGAGAAACTCAAGCAAAAACAAAGACACCAGAGGAGAGTTTCACCTCTAAAACATATAAGCTATAGTGAACAGCAGACACAGCCTAACCCCTAGACAGATAAACTAAAAACTCACACTGACAGCCTATTTCACTCAGCAAATTATACTCATTTAGTTACTTTTATGTGTTAACTTGGTTAAGCCATGGTACCCATGGTACTCAATTTTGGTCAAACACCAGGGTAGATGTTATTGTGAAAGTATCATTCAAATATAATTAACATTTAAATTAGTGGACTCTGTGTAAAGCAGATACCCCTCTTATAATTGGGTTGGCCTCATCCAGTTAGTTGAAGGCCTTAAGACTACAATCCGCTGGGCTCGGTGGCTCAGCCTGTAATCCCGTGCCTTTGGGAGGCTGAGGTGAGTGGATTGCCTGAGACCGCGGGTTCGAGACCCGCCTGGGCAGCGAGACCTCATCTCTACAACAAATCAAAAAATCAGCCAGGCGTGGTAGCACATGCCTGAAATTCCAGCTACTCAGGAGGCTGAGGCGGAAGGATGGCTAGAGCCCAGCAGGTCAAGGCTGCGGTGGCTGGGAGCGGCCACTGCACTCCAGTCTGGGCAACAGAGTGAGACTCCAACTCAAAAAAAAAAAAGACTACAATCCTCTGCAGAATTCAGACATGTCAGCCCACAATCATGTGAGCCAATGGCTTACAATAAATCAATCACTATCTCTCTCTCTCTGCCCCCCATAATGTCAAATTTCTTCATTCCTTTCCATTACTTTGTCAGATTTCAGTTATCTCTTAAAATTTCAAATGTCTGCTTTCATTTTAGTTTGTACTGCTTTCATTTGTACTGCCTCCTAAAAATCATTTAAAAACTTCACAACTGCTGAATTGAATGTCTTTTTTTAAAAACCCATTTTTGTAGCATTTCACAATGCAACCAGTTGCTTCTTAAAACTCTCCTTTCTCAATTGAGATATTGCATTGTACTTCTCTCCCCTTACTTCCCTAAGTCTTTTCATCTCTTTGACTAAAATGTGTCCTTCCTCTCACTCATTAACAATATCAGCAAATATCTAGTTCTCAAAATTCTCACTGTTTACTCGTCCCTCTAACTATACCATTAAATATCTACATCTCAAGGTCAAAATCCCCTCCTAATGTAAGACTCATGCTTCCAACATTTTGCTAAAAATCTCTAAATAGAATTGCTATCAGTAGCTAAGGCACAACTGTCTAAAAGAAGTTCAAAATCTTGTCCTAAAAACAAGTTGTACTTCCTGAAAATCTCTCTCTTTCTGATAATAGTGCCACTGTTCTCCTGGCGTCTCCTGGCTGAAAACCTAAGAGTCATTTTCAAATTACTGTCAAGTCCTTATGGTTCCATTTACATACATTTAATCCCTGCCAACCTAATAATTCAGGTTCATGCAGTATTTGACTATGACATAACCTCCTAACAGGTCATTCAACATCCGTAACATTAGTTTTATTTCAGCCTACATTCCTATATATTACCTATGAAAAAACTATAAATTTCACTATTACCCAATTATACCCTACACCGCTATCTTCATGCACTTTGTCTAGTGTATATACTGGGCAAATTCCCCTATAATCTCTACCTCTTGAAATCAGTTTGAAAACTTCAAGATCTCTTTACTGAATTTAACCACTCCTTTTGAATCTTTACAGCATTCTGCTTATTACTGTCTCATGGCACCTACACTACATTGTTTTTATGTTATTTTAATCATACATCCAACAATATTCAATAAGCATCGGTTATGAGCCAGGTAATATAGTAAATATTAGGTGCTAGGTGTAAAAGGGTCAATGGGACAAAAATAGATCCCACCCTCAAAGAATCTAATGTAGGAAAATATGGTTATTTACACCTTACTTTTATCTCACCCTGATCCTCAAAGGGATTTAAAAATCACTACAGACAAGAAATGTAATTCTGAATTTTCCATGACACCATCACAGGATAATATATACATTTAATACAACATTTTATTGAACCTAACTGAAAATATATTTTGTACAAAGTGATAATCATCATTGCAAAGAAAATGAAAAGATCTATCCTAATAAATTTGGGGGCCTAAAAACAAATAATTTATCTTATTAGAATTCAGTATTTGATGTATAGACTATGTGATTCCGGTCAAAAAGATGAATAATAAAACAATCTCTACCCAAAAAAACAGAAGCAGAAAAATAACTTGATAAAGAAAAAGGGAAAATATATTGTCATTTATTAAAAGCCAACATTTTAAAAAATGGTATGCTATAGCTATCCAGAGCAGGACAACTGAAGAGCATTCACTAAAGCATTACAAACTTAATGCCAAAGAATGACAAAATTAAAAAGAATGACAAAATTCATTCTCCTTCTATAACAGAACAGAGTCATAAGTGAGGAAGAACTTCGCAGCCTGGATCTACATTTTCTCAAACACCCTGACTCTTAGGGTGGCCAAGATTTTTTCCAATGAAATGTGAATACAAATATCATTTGCCACTTCTGGGTCATAAGATTGTATTTATTAAGCAGCTTAGCCTAATCCAATTAATACTCTGGGCACATGGCAATATTTACCTATTTTAGAATACATTTTGATACTGTTTAATACTCAGGTGATAAATACAACTATATCTTTCCAGAATAAATTGACTAAATAGTACCAATTATGATATTTTCCATAAGAAAAACACAACTTTGGGAAAGGTATATATTTCAAACGTATATGTCATATTAAATCTATATTCCATTTTAGAATTTACATAGACGTAGGAAATTGGACTTTTTATACTTTAATAAAACAACTTTATAACAAGAACTGACCTTAGATAAAAGTTCCCATGACCCTCTAATTGGTTAGAAAAAGAAACAGATTACAAAAGTCAGAAGAGTATAGTTGCCAAAAAGACACCTTCATTCAAGAATTATAGTTAATTCAGTCCATAATGAACATGCAAATATTACATAAACATATAGCCCATTTTTACAATAAATTATTTTTACTTCTATTTTTTAATTTTTTGAATTTAAATATTATACAATTAGGTCATTTTTAAAATAAATTTCTTTCACTTCTATTTTTAACATGTTTATTTCTTGAAAATGGTTGCTGAAAGCACTAACCACATGTATTTTTGTGTTTTTGGTTTTTGGTTTTTTTTTTTAATTGGAGTCTCACTCTGTCGCCCAGACTGGAGTGCAGTGGCCGCTCC